CTGGATTCTGATAGAGGGCCATGAGACTTAAACCTGAGTGCAAAAATGGAGGCTCTAGACCCTTCCAGAGCTGAGATATCGAAACTCAAAAATTCGACCCAAAAAAAAAAACGACAGTGGTACCCCTTTTGTTTTTTTGTGTTTTGGGCGAAAAATGAAGTTTCTCCAATCTTCTCAAAACTCTGGATTCTGATAGAGGGCCATGAGACTTAAACCTGAGTGCAAAAATGGAGGCTCTAGACCCTTCCAGAGCTGAGATATCGAAACTCAAAAATTCGACCCAAAAAAAAACGACAGTGGTACCCCTTTTGTTTTTTTGTGTTTTGGGCGAAAAATGAAGTTTCTCCAATCTTCTCAAAACTCTGGATTCTGATAGAGGGCCATGAGACTTAAACCTGAGTGCAAAAATGGAGGCTCTAGACCCTTCCAGAGCTGAGATATCGAAACTCAAAAATTCGACCCAAAAAAAAAAACGACAGTGGTACCCCTTTTGTTTTTTTGTGTTTTGGGCGAAAAATTAAGTTTCTCCAATCTTCTCAAAACTCTGGATTCTGATAGAGGGCCATGAGACTTAAACCTGAGTGCAAAAATGGAGGCTCTAGACCCTTCCAGAGCTGAGATATCGAAACTCAAAAATTCGACCCAAAAAAAAAACGACAGTGGTACCCCTTTTGTTTTTTTGTGTTTTGGGCAAAAAATGAAGTTTCTCCAATCTTCTCAAAACTCTGGATTCTGATAGAGGGCCATGCGACTTAAACCTGAGTGCAAAAATGGAGGCTCTAGACCCTTCCAGAGCTGAGATATTGAAACTCAAAAATTCGACCCAAAAAAAAAACCGACAGTGGTACCCCTTTTGTTTTTTTGTGTTTTGGGCAAAAAATTAAGTTTCTCCAATCTTCTCAAAACTCTGGATTCTGACAGAGGGCCATGAGACTTAAACCTGAGTGCAAAAATGGAGGCTCTAGACCCTTCCAGAGCTGAGATATCGAAACTCAAAAATTCAACCCAAAAAAAACCCCGACGGTGGTACCCCTTTTGTTTTTTTGTGTTTTGGGCGAAAAATTAAGTTTCTCCAATCTTCTCAAAACTCTGGATTCTGACAGAGGGCCATGAGACTTAAACCTGAGTGCAAAAATGGAGGCTCTAGACCCTTCCAGAGCTGAGATATCGAAACTCAAATATTCGACCCCAAAAAAAAAACGACAGTGGTACCCCTTTTGTTTTTTTGTGTTTTGGGCAAAAAATTAAGTTTCTCCAATCTTCTCAAAACTCTGGATTCTGATAGAGGGCCATGCGACTTAAACCTGAGTGCAAAAATGGAGGCTCTAGACCCTTCCAGAGCTGAGATATTGAAACTCAAAAATTCGACCCAAAAAAAAAAACGACAGTGGTACCCCTTTTGTTTTTTTTTTGTTTTGGGCGAAAAATGAAGTTTCTCCAATCTTCTCAAAACTCTGGATTCTAATAGAGGGCCATGAGACTTAAACCTGAGTGCAAAAATGGAGGCTCTAGACCCTTCCAGAGCTGAGATATCGAAACTAAAAAATTCGACCCAAAAAAAAAACGACAGTGGTACCCCTTTTGTTTTTTTGTGTTTTGGGCGAAAAATGAAGTTTCTCCAATCTTCTCAAAACTCTGGATTCTGATAGAGGGCCATGCGACTTAAACCTGAGTGCAAAAATGGAGGCTCTAAACCCTTCCAGAGCTGAGATACCGAAACTCAAAAATTCGACCCAAAAAAAAAACGACAGTGGTACCCCTATTGTTGTTTTGTGTTTTGGGCAAAAAATGAAGTTTCTCCAATCTTCTCAAAACTCTGGATTCTGATAGAGGGCCATGCGACTTAAACCTAAATGCAAAAATGGAGGCTCTAGACCCTTCCAGAGCTGAGATATCGAAACTCAAAAATTCGACCCCAAAAAAAAACGACAGTGGTACCCCTTTTGTTTTTTTGTGTTTTGGGTGAAAAATTAAGTTTCTCCAATCTTCTCAAAACTCTGGATTCTGATAGAGGGCCATGCGACTTAAACCTGAGTGCAAAAATGGAGGCTGTAGACCCTTCCAGAGCTGAGATATTGAAACTCAAAAATTCGACCCAAAAAAAAAACGACAGTGGTACCCCTTTTGTTTTTTTTTGTTTTGGGCGAAAAATGAAGTTTCTCCAATCTTCTCAAAACTCTGGATTCTGATAGAGGGCCATGCGACTTAAACCTGAGTGCAAAAATGGAGGCTCTAGACCCTTCCAGAGCTGAGATATTGAAACTCAAAAATTCGACCCCAAAAAAAACGACAGTGGTACCCCTTTTGTTTTTTTTGGTTTTGGGCGAAAAATGAAGTTTCTCCAATCTTCTCAAAACTCTGGATTCTGATAGAGGGCCATGAGACTTAAACCTGAGTGCAAAAATGGAGGCTCTAGACCCTTCCAGAGCTGAGATATCGAAACTCAAAAATTCGACCCAAAAAAAAACGACAGTGGTACCCCTTTTGTTTTTTTGTGTTTTAGGCGAAAAATGAAGTTTCTCCAATCTTCTCAAAACTCTGGATTCTGATAGAGAGCCATGAGACTTAAACCTGAGTGCAAAAATGGAGGCTCTAGACCCTTCCAGAGCTGAGATATCGAAACTCAAAAATTCGACCCAAAAAAAAACGACAGTGGTACCACGGCCCTCTATCAGAATCCAGAGTTTTGAGAAGATTGGAGAAACTTCATTTTTCGCCCAAAACACAAAAAAACAAAAGGGGTACCACTGTCGTTTTTTTTTTGGGTCGAATTTTTGAGTTTCGATATCTCAGCTCTGGAAGGGTCTAGAGCCTCCATTTTTGCACTCAGGTTTAAGTCTCATGGCCCTCTATCAGAATCCAGAGTTTTGAGAAGATTGGAGAAACTTAATTTTTCGCCCGAAACACAAAAAAACAAAAGGGGTACCACTGTCGTTTTTTTTTGGGTCGAATTTTTGAGTTTCAATATCTCAGCTCTGGAAGGGTCTAGAGCCTCCATTTTTGCACTCAGGTTTAAGTCGCATGGCCCTCTATCAGAATCCAGAGTTTTGAGAAGATTGGAGAAACTTCATTTTTCGCCCAAAACACAAAAAAACAAAAGGGGTACCACTGTCGTTTTTTTTTTTGGGTCGAATTTTTGAGTTTCGATATCTCAGCTCTGGAAGGGTCTAGAGCCTCCATTTTTCCACTCAGGTTTAAGTCGCATGGCCCTCTATCAGAATCCAGAGTTTTGAGAAGATTGGAGAAACTTCATTTTTCGCCCAAAACACAAAAAAACAAAAGGGGTACCACTGTCGTTTTTTTTGGGGGTCGAATTTTTGAGTTTCAATATCTCAGCTCTGGAAGGGTCTAGAGCCTCCATTTTTGCACTCAGGTTTAAGTCTCATGGCCCTCTATCAGAATCCAGAGTTTTGAGAAGATTGGAGAAACTTCATTTTTCGCCCGAAACACAAAAAAACAAAAGGGGTACCACTGTCGTTTTTTTTTTTTGGGTTGAATTTTTGAGTTTCGATATCTCAGCTCTGGAAGGGTCTAGAGCCTCCATTTTTGCACTCAGGTTTAAGGGCCAATCCCAATTCTACCCCTTACCCCTTCACTTTCCCCTTCCCCTCCGTTTTGCGCGTCCACGTGAAGGGGTAGGGCTGTCCCAATTCTCTTTTGGTTGGAGGGGGAGGGCTAGGGTGAAGGGCCAGATAGCCCTTCAAACGAAGATTTTTCGGGAGCACACTTCAAACGAAGGGGTATGAGAAGTGTCACTGCTAACCCAGCCTGGCTGCCCAAGCGACAAAGGAGACCCATAAATTTAAGTATTTGTGGCTTTAATAAGTATTATAACGACAAATAATGATTTGCTTTATGTTACATTCAATATTGTGTTCATATTTACGGTCAGTTTCTTCACAGAAACGTTTGTAAAAAAATCGCTAAAATTACTGTAGTTTGCTAACGATAGTCCCGCAACATATTTTCGTCGTCTCCGTTGTTTCCTGCGAACTTCACAAGATGCAAGAAAATAGCTGTAACCCACGCGACAGATAACTGCAGCTGTCGACGGGATCTTGGAAGTTGTGATAAACATCGGCGCATATCCTGTGACGTAGGCGCTAGCGACGACTTATAATGACGTTTAACGGAGGCGTAGTGGTGTCCCATTTCTTAGGGGAATATTTTCACCCCTACGCATTGCCACTCTGTTTGAAGGGTCAAGGGGAAGGCGAAGGGGTAGGGCTAGGGGAAAGGAAAGGGGTAAGGGGTAGAATTGGGATTGGCCCTAAGTCTCATGGCCCTCTATCAGAATCCAGAGTTTTGAGAAGATTGGAGAAGCTTCATTTTTCGCCCAAAACACAAAAAAACAAAAGTATATATATAAAAAAATAATAATTTAATATTATTTTAATACTTAATCAAAAAAAATTGGACAGATTAAAAAAAAGAAGAGCAGAAAACACTCAAGATGGGTTTGGTGCACACAGGGATAAAAAAAAGTACCCCATGTGTAAAATATATTTTCTGTCGAATTTTCTGCCAGAGGTCCTGCACATCTTGTTCTGATACATGGCATCATGGATTCTTTCAAATACCAACAGATCTGATCTAAAAAAATCTAAACCAGACAACCTTAGCTAGAAATCTTAAAACGGGCCATGTTTGGATCTTCCAACAAGACAGTGATCAAAAAACAAACATCAAAACAAAAATGGGTCACTGAGCTCAAAACCACGCATCTGGATGAACAAGTGTCATTTCAATAAAGAATTACATTCCAACCTAAATTCGAGGTTGTGACAAAATGGAGTCTGATAAAAGTTTAATTGGATTTAATTACTTTACCACACTGAAAAGACCGAACACGCAGAAACTTATCGAAAACTGTCGTTGGGTTTGGCCTTACAATCCAAGAAGGTAAATAGGATTAATTCGGCCTTTAATAACAGATTATTCAAAGCTAGTTTACATCATGCAACTTTTCATCCAACCTACTATAATAATAATTTTCAGGGCTAGAACTTACTTTGTAATGCACTTTTGGAGAAGACGTACTCGTTCCCAGAGAGCCTTCTGAGTCCATCCTGAATTGAAGAAAAATACACATTAATATATCCGACTGAAATAAAAGAGAAAAAGACTTGAGGAAGCCAAAATATCGTTTCCAGCCAACATAATCATAACAACACACTTAAGCACAGCATTACCACGCAACCCATAACTCACTGGCGCTTGCACGCTCTCATGAGAAAAGCCATTTATCAGGCCTGGAGGATATTAAACACGCAGAAAACAGATCCAGATTCAAATAGACTCATCCAGCACTTAAAACAAACTCTATCTGAGATGTTGCAGGCGTAGGATAATAGAACTGTACATGCATAAATATGACACACACACATCCCGTCTGTAATGATCACAGGCTTCCAGCTGCACTTTCTCAACCTGGATATTTCACTGTTTAATTGACCTCTGACCTCTCCCTTAAAAGGTCACCCACCAAAAATGTCATTTAAACTCTTGGGATTTGTGCATCGCATCCGTTTGACCTTCATGTAACAGAAAAAAAAGAGGCAATTATAAAAGGAAGCGACCTAAATCTGGCTTGTAGTTATTTAGCAATTTTAGGATTCAGAGCTACACTACCGTTTCAAAGCTTAGGGTCAGTAAGATATTTAAATGTTTTTCAAAAAGCCTCTTTAATCAAAATATTCAGCTATAGACATAAATACACTAATGAAAAAACATATTTTCCGTTAATTCCTTCAATGAGGAGTTTTGTTTTATAATTTTTTCGTCCCAAGCGAACGATCCACTTGTGTTCCGCCGCTACAATTTGAACTAAAATTACAGTAGGCCTGATATTTGTGACTTTACAGTTTTTTTTTTAAAATCACTTACACACAATTTCTGAAACTATAGCTCCATTTCTCAGAACTCTAAACACCAAAACACAAAATACACACACAAGATGTTTTGCAAAATCAAACTATTTTAACTCTTCTAAAACATGTTTTTTTTGGCATAGTAACTACAAACAAACCATTAAATGATTAGCCACATACACACCCAACTAAACTAAAATGTAAAACACTACTATATTGTGTCTTTTGCTTGTTCATTGTGCAGTGGAGTGGACAGGAGTTTGTCACACATACATGTATGAGCATAAATACACTGTATACAGTCTGTATGCACCATTGATAAACTGAACTGAACTGAATCAACACTGAACTGTCTCGATCTGAATAATGACACTATAAACATACTAATGAATAATGGTGTATTGGAGCTGCTTTACAGCAGAATTTGAACTTGTTTCTATTATGAAGGTGCTTTGAAACTGTATTGTGTAAAGCGTTATAGAATATAACAGTGACTTGACCTGTTGCATATTCAGTATATATGTATTATTTACAAAATAAACAGAAATGCAAAGGGGAAAATAATTTCTTTATTTCTGAAAATAAAATGAGTTTTGATTTCTAAGTATTCCATTTATGTAAAAGTGTTTTTACACGAGCGTTTGATGTAGGTAATGGGAAATAAATGTGTCATTTCAATGAAACGTGAGCTGTTAGTTTTGAATGATGTGTCTAATGTAGAGAACTGTGTTTTGTTTTACAAATGCAAACTGAGTGTGTGAAGCATAATAATGTGCTTGCAGTTTTGCAGACTTGGTCTGAGGATTAGATATATGAGTGAATGATTTCACTGAGTGAGCCTCAAGTACCACTTTTAGTGTCTAAGCATTTTTAAAAAACTGTAAAGCAATATTGTAAAGTGATATAAATAAACATGACGTGACTTGATTGGATAGTGCTGAGTTGCAGAGCTGGTTCAAACACATCTACATCGCTATGATCAGATGCTTTCTTTACTGCTGCTGTTATTTTTTTTTGTATGTTTATTTTGTTATTGAGAGGAAAGTGCGCAGCACTTACAAATTCAGTTAAACGGCACTCTCATTGGTGTGTACGGCAATGTTCATTAGCAGTATACCACAGCAAAGGTATTTAAAACTTCCTTTTACCTATGAGCAAATGCCATAAAAACACTTTAGATCTGTTTTCTGGCTTCTCTCAAGAAGAGGCCATGATTTATTACATGCACAATTAGGGTGACTCCCATTTCATTTAAAAGTCTCTATACCTTCTGTGTCTCTTCACTCCTGTTTCATCCTGTTATTCTCTTCCTTTCTGTTCATGTCTTCTTTCAATTTATCCTCTTATACTTTCCACTACACCACTTTACCAGTCTCTGCTCCCTCTCATTTTCCCTATTCTACTCTTCCTACACCCTCTCCTTTATTAAAGAGGTCCTATTATGATTTTTCACTTTTTACAACTTTTGTTGCTGTTTGGCCATACAAAAGATCTGCAAGGATACAAAGCTCAAAGTCCATTTTAAAGGGAGATATTTTATTTAACAGAATCCACTTTTTAAGAACTACAACGAACAGCTTACTTATTATAGTGATGACAGTAAATTATGCATAATCACAAGTGCACCCTAAACCAAGCCCTAATCGTAACTCCATAGTAAGGTAGTTAATTAATATTACTTAGTCACCTTACTACATCACCTTAAAATAAAGTTGAATCAGTTTTTATAGTTAGTTTTTATATCGATAGCTGTGTAAAAATTTTCAAAATTTATTTTCCTGTGAACTGAAATCATTTCATGGGCAATTATGAATATGCTAAATGACAGTTGCCTTTCAGTCGACGTCGACTACGTCCTCCGTTCCCTAGGTTGCATACGTTTCCCATACAACGACGTAGTTCACTGCTTCACTACCATAGTACGATGCATCGTTGGAGAAATTAACTAGCTAGTCACGACTGTTTCTCGAAGCCCACTGTCGCAAAGTATCGTTCAACCACATTGGTTTCGCACGTGGAGTAATAACTACTTTAATGAAACAGTTTTAGATCCAATTAACGCTAGATTTGTTTTATATAAATTACAGACATGTCATCTGAGGACTATTTCTAATTGTTCTCAGTTGTTTTGCTTTATTACCAGACGCAACATTTGGCTCGTTCTTACATAGTATGCACCTTCGCACATGCGCACTCTTCAAACACGTTACTTCAAATCTTTTGAAAAACTTAAAGACGGAAATTACATTTGTATGTATTCTGAATAAAAGGCACCGGTTGTACTGAATTTCAGCTTGCTTATTTTGCTCTAGATAAGGATTTATTACCTCCAAATGTCATGCAATATAGAAACGATGCCTCTAACCACAGGTCGAGAGCTGTCGTTCAAACCACACAACTCTGCGATGCTGTTTGCGAATGTTTGTTGGAACGATGGTTTCGGAAAACGCCGACTTGTTGAACTATGCTGATGACGACAGAAAATTGCGACCATAGTTGGCTAACGAATCGATGCTTTCGGGAAACGCACCCCAGGAAGTTTTGTTTGTTGTGTTTGTAAAAATGGTATAAATGTTTGTGATTTTTGTGAAATCAATAAAAAGAGCGAGCATTTTTTTCCTGATATATTACAATATCGTTTGGCTGTGTCAGCTATTATAAAAACAGTGAAAAATTAGCACTTAAAAGATGTGAGCAGTTATTTTTTTGCAGCAGCTGACCTTATTGCATATGCATTTGTAGGAGTTTCTCTTTCAGACGCAAAATTTATGGAGGCGTGTATTTAAATGAATCGTGCAAGGTGATTTACTAAGGCAATTTACGCTTTAAGATTTACGCTCATCAATTCATAGTTTTTTTGTCCCATTATTTAAAACCCAAAATAAGCACCTAATTTGCGCTGCTCTTGGTAGATTGCGTTGGTCAATATTGAAATGATCCAGCGGCATCTGTGTCCTTTATTCGCGCGTCTTCAGTAGATCCCGCGCAGATCTTTCCACTCTCGTTTTAATGGGATTGCGCTCACCCTTTTGCCCTGTCTAGTAAATCTGGCCCTAACAATTATGTACACAAAAATGTAATTTTTTAAAAGTACATACAGTATATTCAATGTTATAATTTCTTGAAAGAAATATTTTAAATTCAAATGCTAATGAAATGTTTTATAACTGAGTATAATTAGAAATTTCAATGAACTTTGTCCTGGCCTGATATCACCAAGCTTTCAAGGACTGTGGGAACACTGCCAACTAACAATCTTCTAACTCGTGTCTTTAGCCATAAAGTAAACTGGTAAAACTCCTTGGTATTTGTATCCAGCTAGTAAATCACTGCATCACTGTACTGTTCACTCTGCATTGACATACTGTTCAACTTGTATCATGCTGCCTGAAATCACCAACTCTCAAATCAGTGACTTCTGTGCAGCGTGTCCCTGCAAACCTCTGTCCATGTGAAGTCTAACAACTCTTTTCTTCTCTAAAACATTTTAAAAGTGGAATACTTTCAAAGGGGGAGACATGGGGATGTCAGACAGCGAGACTAATGTGTAAAAAATCGTCACAGACTGCTTGCTAACTGTGAACCTCAAAAATAAGTGCATTCACATCTACTGACTGCCATTGACATACAGTCACACAGTCTAAGAACTTTCTCCCGTAATGATGATTCTCTGCTAAAAAAATCTGCTCTAGTTTTTATTTGCGTAAAGGAAATCAGTCTGTGGAATTTCTCAGCTGCCTAATATTGATCTGGACAGTTTATGATGTTTTTGTACTGTAATTGTTTAAAGAGGATTTAAGGCTATTTCTGTGTATCATGTGGTTTGATATGACCTGTAGACAGTTGTGCCATTTAGTTCCAAACAAGAGTCATATGATGGAAAAAAAGATTGTAAATAAAGATATAAAATGATAGTAATAAAATAAAATAAATAATAAATAGGACTAGTAATAAAATATAATAGCTTTAAGAATAAAAGTTGAATGCTTGTATTTGAGTCAGTATTAGGCATGCTAGATGACCCATAAACCTCCACTTACACTCATGAGCCCTCCCACCAGGTCATTGGTGTGGGGGTCGTCTTCTTTTGAGGCCAGTTGGGGTGAGTAGAGTTCAGTGGTCCGCAAAATCTCCAGAACACGATCCAGAGCTTCCGCTACTGTCACGGGACTGCTCTCCTGTGCTGCGTTAATGATATTTATCACCTATGAAGGCAACAGAATACAGGCAGACTGAAGACAGAGGGTGAGAGACAACTACAAACCACTAATCAAAGGTTTACATCCATAAATATCTCTGTAAAGAATTTCCCCTTTTGACACTTCCATTGCTTCCATTGTCACAAACAAATCCTAAATCATGTTCAAGTAATCGTAAATATACCACAGCAGACACAGACAGAGGTGTTCAGCACCTGTCTCAGGGTTTTGTGCAAGATGAACTGAATTACAATTCAAGGATAGGATTCAAAGTTAGCATTTACTGTAAATTTGATAATAAACCCATATTACTGCTATTTTTAGCTAGAAAAATCAAAGTTTGCAAAGACTGAGTATTAGCTTGACAAAGCCTTGTTGTAAAGTATGAAAAGTTAAAAAAACAAACAAACTATGAAACAATAGATAGATAGATATATAGATATACAGATAGATAGATAGATAGATAGATAGATAGATAGATAGATGGATAGATACAGTAAATTCCTCTTACTGTCATCCAAAGTAAAATTTCACAGCTTATTGTTTACTATAGCTTATCATGTACTACTTCTTGTCAGATGATTCTGTATTGATGCAGGTGGTTATAATGTCTATAAAGGTCTGAGTGTAGAAGTGGTTTTAGTTATCTTTAGTGATGTATAAAGGTTTATGGGCTTTTTGTATTCAGATAGATAGATAGATCAGATAGATAGAGAGATAGATGATAGATAGATAGATAGATAGATAGATAGATAGATAGATAGATAGATAGATAGATAGATAGATAGATAGATAGATAGATAGATAGATAGACAGACTGTGAATTGCAATTCAGTAAATTCCTCTTTCTGTCATCCAAAGTAAAATTTCACAGCTTATTGTTTACTATAGCTTATCATGTACTACTTTTTGTTAGATGATTCTGTATTGATGCAGGTGGTTATAATGTCTATAAAGGTCTGAGTGTAGAAGTGATTTTAGTTATCTTTAGTGATGTAGGGGGGTATAAAGGTTTATGGGCTTTTTGTATTCAGGTTTGTATAGTAATGCAGGTGTACCTTAGTGATTGGAGCCTCAATAGTCATGGAGTGGATTCGGGCCATAGAGGAATATCTGCGATTCTGTAGACTGGGAGCTGAAAGAGATAAATAGAGAGAGAGAGAGAGAGAGAAGAAAAAAGCTCTTTAAATAGCTCCATTTGCGTCAGAGTGCACTGAGACTGTGGGTGTGCTGATGTCATCAAGCTACGTCACAAAAAGCCCCACTTAGCTAGAGCTCACACACACACACACACACACACACACACACACACACATGACTCATAAAACACACTGACTTTTTTCATAATTACTTCTAAACTGTTAAAGGGATTCGCTTTCCCTTATTTATGGTGTATTCTGATGAAGCACATCCTTTCTTTCTCTTACCATCGCTGCTGTGAGAGCTGATAGATCTGACGTCCACAGACTCTTTCCTCCGGTCCTTGTGACGCAAGGAATTGCAGTCTGGATAAATACAAAAGAGGAATGAGCGCACACGTACATAAAAGAAGTAACCACAGTAATCATCTCTTACATCACTATTTTTACCTTCATCATCATCATTACTATGATTTAACATCATCACAAGCACAGCAGTGATTTCATGAAGCAACTGACACACATTCCTTTCTCAGAGTAATAAAAAACACTAGATGCTCAAATTTGTTTAATGAAAAAGCTGCTGATAATAAGCATGTAGTGGGTTGCTGCCAGGGCAATGTCAAGCGGTTGCTAAGGTCTATTATTTCGTCTCTAGGGTGTTGAGTGTTTTTTATTGCATTGCTATACAGTTGATAAGGTCTTCTAGAAGGCTGCAGGGTGTTGCCAAGTGGTTGCTATGGTGCTCTGGGTGGTTGCTAGGTAATTGCTTACTCTGATATTTTGGTATGTTGAAATCTGCAAAACAAAAATTGATAACACATCTTTCCTCAAAAACTTGCTACATTTGAGGTATAATTCATATTCAACCAATAATAATGGTGTGGGACTAGTTAAACACCAAATTAAATATTAAACAGTTAGTGGTTGCAAAACCCATTACTAAATTATTCTATATTATTAATGCATTATAGCCTTATAAGACTTTCATGAATAAAATAAATTAAATCAAACTTTAGATTAAATGTAAAAAAAGTATATATATATATATATATATATAGTTAATTTTTATTTGAATTCAATTATTTAAATGAACCCATTTGTATTTTGCACCATTTTTTTTATTGAAGTATAAACAATAATAACCGTGATTCTTGCACTAGAAAACAGCACAAATGATGTGAAATGGTGACCGCTGTTACTTTTATTGTGTCATGTAACATATGCACATGCATGCAGAATTATTATAGCTTATTTTACCAGTCTGACAGTCAATATGCACTGCATGGTGCACTGCAGCCATCTGTCTATTCTGCACCATGACCTATCTCTCTATCTTTTCCCTCTACTTCTCAATGCAGAATTGATCTGTGCATTTTCAATCATGCTTTTGTTTGCTTCACAGCATGTCACACAAACCAAATCTATAAAGATCTGTTATGGGTTCCAGTGTGCTAATTAAGCAATCGTGCATGAGGGCTTCAAACACAAACAGTAAACAAATAGATAAAGAGAGATGTTCTGGTATTGTACCTGATTGTGAGTTTTCACCACAGCTTTTGTCTTCTTTGCTCAACTTATGAACCTGCAAAAACATATCTCTGATCAGCTCTCTCTCTCACACACACAGATATCTACTTGTTTCAGTTTGAACTCTGTCTGGCAACAACACAACAATGACAAATGTGCAGATAATATTAGGTGACAATTAGAGGGTGGCTCTTGGCCAGAATAAGCTACAATATGCCATAGGGTTGTCACACTACCAACATTTTAGTAGCCAATACCAATACCAGTTTTGATACTTATTTCAATAATATCGCAATAATAGAAATATTATTGAACAAACACTGTGATTTAAAAAGTGAACTATTAACATACATTAAATATGATTCAATACAACATTAAATTAAATGTAAAAATTATTAAGTTTAATTAAATATAAATACCATTAAAATGTTTTAAGTCAGGCAGATTTTTTTTATTAATACTTTTATTTAGCAAAGGTGCCATAAATTGACTAAAAGTGACAGTAAAGACATTTATACTATTAAAAATGTATTGTATTCATCATAGAATCCAAAAAAAAAAAGATTGTCCCAGTTTCCACAAAAATATATAGCAGCACTACTCTTTCCAACATTGATAATAATAAGAAATGTTTTTTTTTTTTTTTTTTTTTACATAAAATCAGCATTATAAATTATTTCTGAAGGATCGTGTGACTGAAGACTGGAGTAATGATGCTAAAAATCAGCTGTCTTTGCAATAATAAATTATTTCAACTTACATTAAAATACAAAACAGTCATTTTAAATTGTAATACTATATGACAATATAACTGTTTTACTGTATTTTAGCCTTGGTGAGCATAAGAGACTTCTTTCAAAAGCATTATAAACCAAACTTTTGAATGGTAGTGTAAATATTAATATAAATACTAAAAAAATACTTTCACAATAAAAATTACAGCAATTCATGTTTAATCACACATTGTTACTGAAAACCAGGCATCTAACAAAATGTTTTGTTGCCCGTTGTGTGTTGTGGCTAGTTAGGATAGAGATAAACATTGAACAGAGGGTTTATCACAATGTCTGGTTTGTGCTTGATCGTTGAGTTCACCTAGGTGGAAATCCTACCCGCTGCAATCCATTTAATCCTTTTAACATGATCAAGTTTTGAATGAAAGAAACAGGATTTTCAGTCTTAGGTTAGAGATTAGAGAGCACTGCCAAAAATGAATCTATGCAGCGTGATGGTTGCACTTTAGTAAAAGTTACATGCTACTGACAGAAATACAATATGGCTATATTACATTTACGTTCACACTCATATATGTGCACAAACACACACTCAAAAATAGATGCCATGTAGGTAAGAGGATTAAAGAGCCTAGTTACATCGTCCTGAAGGATGAGGTCACAGAAAGTTTCATGACAAACTCCCTCACAGCACCACAAGAGAAGATTTACTACATGCTCTCTGCTCTGATAATTACTGCATTACTTTCATCTCGATTGATCCAGGGGAACTTTGTAACGTGCATTTAATTTCTTAATATTTAACTGGAAAACTGTAATGTTTTCCAGTTAAAATATAATTTTTTTAAGTATATATTTTTGAAAGAAGTCTCTTATCCTCACCGAAGACACATTTATTTGATTAAAAATACATTTAAAAATGTAATATATTCCTGTGATGTAAAGTTGAACTTTTCGGCATCATTACTCCAGTCTTCAATGTCACATGATCCTTCAGAAATCATTCTAATATGCTGATTTGCTGCTAAAAAAAACATTTCTTCTTATTATTAATGTTGAAAACAGTTATGTACGGTTGTACTGTAACAATGTACTGACCCCAAACTTTTGAATTGTGGTGTAGATATTGTTTTTCCTCGTTTTAAATCCTGTTACGTATGCTTACGATAAGAAACAAAAGTATTTGCTAGTAAGGTAAGAAAAAATAAATTCAAATTATATTCTCTAAAAACAAGCCATATTATTTTTACTTTTTAAATAAATGCAGCTTGTGTTAAGGAATTTAAGATATTTTTGTTGAATAACAAGACAAAAACACTTGCTAAATGCCTTATGAAAGCTACTTAAGAAAAGCTTCCACTGACCCAGTTGGATGGCAATAAATATTTGATTCTAGTCTAGTCTACTATTATCCACTGCATTTTGACAGAAAATAGTTACCATGGTAGATTTTCGTAAGGCTTGTAACAGACACAGACGCGAGTAATAGTAACACCAGTGAGTAAAGCTACAGCTATTTCACACACGCGTCAGTGTGTCTGTTTCTCGCGGGCCTTTCTGATCAGCAGCTCCACCTAATGCTAGAACTAACAGCAGGGTTTAGACTTGAGCCTGTGGAGGGTTATTAATAACCCTGACGCCCGCCTGGCTCTCTGACACTGGTCTGTCAGGATGGATGGTTTAACGTAACTAACATTTCTGCCCACTCCTGTTCCCATGAGCCTTGCACACTTAAAACGTTTTGCTGCCAATTTGGGAGCTCAATTAATAGTTTGGTTAATATTTATTAGACACTCACTGATTAAAAGGAATCTTAATGTAAATATCACATGGGAAAGTAGATAAGAAATGTACCTGTCTGTGGTTGTCACTGTAAGGCCTCTTGATGGACACAAAATGGCGAATTTTTCTAAAAGATAAGGAAACAATTGACTTATTTATTGTACTGATTTGTCCATTTATTTAGAACATAAAAATAAAATATAATTTATAATATTAAATATTTAATTTGTAATAATTTAAATACAAATATTTGTATATATACAAATATATTAATATAAATATTAATTTATTACAGAATATTCATTTTTAATTAAATTACAAAATATAACATTTAATTTATAATTAAATATCATAAATTATAATTAATAAAACATTTTATCACTTTTTATGATCATGTGACTTACCCTCCCTGGCCAATCACAGGAGTGATTCTGACATATTGCTGAATACTGTCCCCAGACTTCCTCCGTGAAAAATAGATCCCCTGCCATTCCTAAGCACGCAAACACAAACATAAGTAAAAAAAAAATCATATCTAATAATTGAATAAATGATATGTATTGTAAGGGTTATAAAAGTTGCACATTGCTTAAGTCAAATATGATAGTAATAGTTTATAGTAAGACCCTCATAAATAGTTTGACCCTCATAAATCAATAGTTTGACCCTAATAGTTTGACCCTCATAAATCAATGTTCCTAATGGCCGGCTGACCTTTCCTTTCTTGATGCAGGTGTTGATGGTGTCCAGCAGGTCGGCGCTGTTCTTGTCACTCTTAGGTAGTTCAGTCAACTCTTTACCAATCACTTCGGCTCTGTGATAGCCCATCATCTTTTCAAACGCTGGATTTACATACTAAAAATACACAGAAGAATAAAAACACCTGCATGTCAACAAGTATGCATTAGAGAAAGGGGAAAACATTACATTACTTTAACTAAATAATTTTTTTAATCTATACTAAAAATGCTTTAATATTTAGAATATTAATATTAATTTATTTTACACTGTTAATATTTGTTTGTTTACAAAAGCAAATAATATATTTGAATTATGTTTCAACGTTGAATAAAAGTCGTCTTCTTAAGGTAAAAGTGTATTAATCTGGCACTGTAAGTGACATAAACAACAAATACAAATTATTATTAATTATGTTAATAAATGTTATGACAATTAATCAGAAGCAACATTTTATGATTGTTACAACCTTACACTAAATCGTTTTGGATTTACAAAACATCAAAATAAATATGAAAATCTTGCTGTCAAAAATGACGTGGGTTCACTTTAAATATTTAATTTGTAATAATTTAATAAATAAATACTAAATAATTGTATAAATATATATATATATATATACACTGTATATACATATACATATACACACGTATATATATACTGTATATATATATGTGTGTGTGTATTTCAAAGTTTTTTTACTATCATTATTTTTTTTAAATACAAATAAATTAATTAATAAATTAATTTTCAAATAAATTACAAAATATAACATTAAATTTATAATTAAATATTATAAATTATAATTAATAAAACATTTTATAACTTTTTATGATCATGTGACTTTGGATTTACAAACCATCAAAATAAATATGAAAATCTTGCTGTCAAAAATGACGTGGGTTCACTTTAAATATTTAATTTGTAATAATTTAGCTTTAGGCCATTCACTGTTCTCTAACTCTACTGAATTTGATCCATAGGGTGGTCCTTGTAAGGATGTAGATTTAAACAAAAAGTGCCTGCTTAAATGTGACCAAAGCCCCGTGGGACGATCTGTTTGGATACCAAAACTCACTTGAATGACATGATCTTCACTGCTGATCTCCACGGCTTCCTGACACTGTTCTAACGCGGTGAACACAGAGTTACAAGCCCTGCAACATCAGAAACACAAACAAATATTATATATATATATTTTAAACCAGCTTCTTTAGATCTGAAATTGAAGCACATACTTGAGACTTACCTCAGTTTGAACTGAGCTCGAACCTCTCCATGTTCTAACTGGATTAACTCATTATAGCAGGCTGACACACTGCTGTTCTCCAGGTACCTCTGAAAGAGAGAGAGGCATATAGCTCATAGTCTCATACAGCACTGCATATATCATACAGTATGGACGCTGTCCTATTTTCTACTGCCTGCTAAGTTAAGTCAAGATTTTCCAGCTGGGATCAGTAAACAAACTTATCTGCTCTGGGTATTTATATTAAGGAACGTCTGGGAAGTCTATGGGACACGAAACTGAACTGAGATGAATGTTGAAATGCATTGCTACTTGTGAGTGTAGTGTAATAGAATCACTTAAAATTTTTAATAATAAAAATTCTGTCATTAATTTCTCACCCTCATGACGTTCCAAACCGTAAGACTTCCGTTCATCTTCATCTTCAATGAAGATATTTCTGATGGATTCTGAGAGATTTCTGTCCATCCATTGACAGGAATGCGTCAAAAAGTTCATAAAGAGATAACGAATGTAAAAAAACGAATCCATATGAATTGAGCGGTTTAGTCTAAATATTCTGAAGAGACTTGATCGCTTTATACAATGAACAGATTGAATTTAGGCATTTATTCACATATAAACATTTATCAGTGAACATAAACAGAAGCTCAACCAAATCTGCTTGACGCACGAGAACAAATCTCTTGTGAAAGACCAAACGTGCTGCGTAACACGAGAATGAACCTCATTGGTTCTTGTGAAAGCCCAAGCGTGCTGCGTAACACGAGAATGAAGCACGTTGGTTCTCACACGTCAAGCTTCCGTTTACCACACCTAATGTGTGTTGATGAATGTTTATATGTAATTAAAAGCCTAAATTAAATCTGTTCATCATATAAAGCGATTGTGTCTTAAAAAAATTTGGATTCAACAGCTCAATTCATATGGATTAGCGTTGCGATCTCTTTTATGAGCTTTATGAAGCATCAAAATGGTAGTTGCATAGCTATCAATGGACGGACCGAAATCTCTCAGAGATTTCATCAGAAAGATAAATCATTTGTTTTCCAAAGATGAACGAGCCTGGTTTGGAACAACATGGTGAGTAATTAATGACAGAATTTAATTTATTTTGGTGAACTATCCCTTTAATAACTTTGTCTAAGCAAAATTATATCTAAATTATGACCATGAGCAAGGATATACAAGAAAGGAATGTTATGTACATAGAGCAAATTTACAATTACAAATACTACAATTTTTACAGTTCAAATTATTTATTTTTACATTTTATATTTAAAAAAGGAGGCAAATTAAAAAAAAAAAACTGTGGTAATCAACAGTAAAAATGCTGCTGATAAAAATGAACTAATATTAAACTAATGACAGTCCTTTAAGGCTGTTTTGTACATATTAGCCAGAACAGGACATGAATGCCCTGCCCCCTGCTTGTCCCGCCCATGTAGAAGAGCAGAAATCCTTGTTTTAAGGCCCCAGTATACTTCGAGAGAAACCAAAGAACTGGTGTGACATAATTTCAACCAAAACGAAGTTTGTTTCGGGAGTTCAAAACAGCTGGCCAAAGTGAACTTTCCAGAAAAGTTTGCTCCAGCCAGTTAACACCTTCGAACTAACATTTGTTCATGGCGATTATGTAGGTAGGTGTGCTCGGAGTAAAATACTCACTCTGGAGAAGCCAGCAGAGAGAAGAGGAAGGACAGATGGTTCCTCCTGATCTGAGGGACTGTGTGTGAGAGAGAGAAAGATCAGCAGGAGGAACATGATGGACATCTGTAACACATGGATAATAGATCCAAAAGTGTACCGAGGTAAATCTTACATTTGTGGCAGCACAGCCAAAATAACAGTGTGTTCAGAAGGCTTAGCCGCTCGGATCATCCTGTTTAAAAACACACACAATAATAAAAAAGTAGGTTTTTATATTTTCTGATCCCATGACGAAGTGAAATCAAGCATCTTGTACACATTTACCTCTCTCTAGCACACACACAACTCCAAAAGACTCCCTCACACAGTCAGACGTCCACTGGGAAAAAAGTGAATTGGCAACAACTAGATTTGGTAGAGAGCAAGAAGCAACATTCTAATCTGAAAAATGAAGCCTACTCGGAAGTACGAAAAACTGCAATACATTGAAAATCCACTAGAGGCAGGTCCCAGAAGGGAGCAATTGTCCATAGACGATAGAACCCATGTTAAGATGTCCGTTTTCACAGCATAAATTCATGTTTTTACAGGTTGGTCTCATGGACTTTTATTGTATTTTTCGATAGGTTCCGAGTGCCTGATAACTGTGAGGGAGGTGCATTTTTTTGTAACTCGTTAGTTTAGATAGTATTTAGACATAAAATGTATGACAAATAAGCGCGAGGTTAACTTTTTTCACTTCTATTTCACGTAGTTAGCACTATTTAGCATCAATGTTTGTGGGCAGTGGCACTGCAACAGTTAGCATTAAATCGCCTCAGATAAGTTAGCGTCTGAGGTAGGGTCAGGTGGGGTTTTGGGGGGCTAATACAATTCTAAATCATAAATCAGATTTACCTATGTACAACAACATACCGATGTCCAGCAATCGATTTAAATAGTACATTGTGTTTAATTTGTCGTTTAATGAGATCTAATGTGGTTGTTGGGTCCAGTGGCAAAACTTTTGCCAAGCACGTCAGAGGTTCTGGGTTCTCATCCGCACTCGTAAAGTTTTTTTTTTTTCTCTCTCATTAAAACCGATTATTTTTATCAGTGGTTGTATATCAAGCAGGGGGACACTTTGTGTGCATTTTACTTTGTAATTTCACCAGAATGAATAGAGAGTCTCAGCAACGGATTAAAGTGCGCGTCAGAGTTCAAAATGATGGGGACAATATCGACCCTGGCAAAAAGTGGTGGGGGTTTGTCCCACCCATAAAGACCCTCAGTCTCACACAAAGCCCACCCTTTTACCCATATATGGATTGGCCAGAAGGTGGGCGGGGTTAGGATTTCCCAAGATTTTTAAAAGATGGCACCGCCCATACCCCCCATTAATGGCCTCAAGAACGTCATTCAGAAAGTCTATGGGTGATGTCACAGACGCATTGTCCATTTTTTTTAACGTCTTAAAGTCTGTGGTAGAGAGTTGCCAGCTTTGAATGTGTGAGTGTGTGCGTGCTGTGCAGATGCATTTAAACCAGTCTGTGCAGGAATTAACACCCACTGGCAATCAAAATCAGGCCATTTCCTTGACTTATTTACCTGCCAGCCACTTTGGTGGGCAACCTGTAACTGGTCTTAAAGAGTTCTTAAAGATTCACAAATTATTAAATCTAATAAACCGATTTTTTTGTGTGTGTGTGAAGCAAAAGCATGTCGTTGCAGCCCAATATTTTCACACACAACCGCTCAAAAATATGGGGTCTGTAAGATTTTTATTAATCAAAGAAGTTTCTTTATGCTTAACAATGCTATTTATTTGATGAAAAATACAGTAAAAACATTGTGAAATGCTATTTTCTATTTAAATATATTTTAAAATGCCATTTATTCATGTGATGGTTAAGTTAACCCATCGGTTAAGTTGATGGTTATATTTTCAACATCATTACTCCAGTCTTCAGTGTCTCATCCTTCAAGAATTACTCTAATATGCAGATTTGAATTTTTTTTACGAATGTTGTCTATTATTATCAATAATTATTAACAGTTGTGCTGGTTTATATTTTTGTGGAAACATGATCATTGTTTAATGTTATTTGATGAATAGAAAGTTCAAAATAACAGCATTTGAAAAAAAAAAAAATATTTTCTAACATTATAAATGTCTTTACAGTAACTTTTGATCAATTTAATGCATTCTTGCTGAATTAAGAAAAGTATTAATTTCTTAGAAAAAAAAATCATATTGACCCCAAACATTTGAACAGTAGTGTAGACAAACAGTACATTATAAATGAAATATACATAAATGAATCATGATCAAAATGTCTCTGTGCAGAAATGTCCATGACACCATAAGGGAAGAACAGAACTGAGCGTGTGAGAGTGATGATGGATGGTTTGTTGGACTCACCTGCAGACGGCATCAGCCTCAAAGTACCGTGAGTGCCGCCCATCAATGATGACGATCTCGTGGTGTTTATCCATGAAACACTCCACCGCAGACTCAGGTGTTCGTGCGATGTTACACCTGAACCCCGCACGCTCACACGCCCACCAGAAAGCATCGCTCTGACTGTCCTCTTTAGCGAAGACCAGTAACACCTGAGCGAGAGAGAGACGGAGAGAAAGAGAGAGAGAGAGGTGCTGTTGTTGGTTGCATGTGAAAGGTCAACAGTCTTTCATCCTGTTGAGCGTTGTGTAACCATGGAGCTGTGATGTGAAATTCCACATGGGCCAGGTCGTTCAGGATGCCTCTGTCGCCGCTACCTCACTCTAGAGGCCCACCGTGCAGCGTCGCATGTGCACCTACAGGGGGCGGAGTGACCTCACCCGCTTAATCACTATTGCCGTGTCCCAATACACCTACTTATGCTATGCCCTAAAAGTATATACTCTTTTTGTGAAGGAAAAGTGTCTAGTAGAAGAATAGGCAAGCTAATAGGCAAAAAAAAAAAAAACATTCTGTCACATAATTTACGTGCTTTCTGTCACAATAAACCGGTCTGTAAATCATCCAGTCACACTTAAAGGGATAGTTCACCCAAAAAATTTGGCATCATTTACTCATCCTTATGTTGTTCCAAACCTGTATGAGTTTGTTCTGCTAAACAAAAAAGAAGATATTTTGAAGAATGCTAGTAATCAAACAGTTTACTATAACCATTGACTTCCATAGTAGGAAACAAAAAATACTATGGTTCAGCAGAACGAAGAAACTCATACAGGTGTGGAACAACACAAGGATGAGTAAATGATGACAACATTTTCATTTTTGGGCGAACTATCTCATTCTATTCGGTTATTTACGACAGTGACAATCACATTCTATATCCAAACTCACACCCATACATTTACAGGACTGTTAACCGCATTCTCGGAAAACCCGCGCTGTGTGAACAGAGCCGGACTGGACAACTTAGTTGTCTTGACCATGTGTCTACCGTGTGTTGTGGGTTTTCGCGTGTTGCTTCACTTTCGGTAACTTACAGCGATGGAGATAAGACCTATGTATCATCTGAAGGTTTTAGATCCAGTTACTGTTCTCCACCAGAGCTGCTTCTGTCAGTTTTGTGGGTTACGGACGTCTGAATGCTCCGCTCTCTACCCACATATTACACATATAAGCAGCTGTCGTTTAATGAAGATTTGACGAATGAACTGGTGGTTCGATTACATTACATTATAGGCCTTTATCATAGTCATCGTGTCGTCATATCCTGCTCAGATTAGCATTAATGTCAATAGAAGGATGCCAGATGCCAGAAGGATCACTGGACTGATTTAATGACTGATTATGTTTAATTTAGCTTTATATCACCACCCATTAGCCTACAGTATAATGCTTTCCAAACATAACACTCAAACACAGAGGATATGACACGTTTACGATGATCAAACAATAATCAATTTGTCAAAATAATCACTTTTTCAATAATCATCTATGTGCTGGATATATTCCTTTGTTTAAACAATTTCAATTGATCTAATTATTGATGATTGCATCGTAAAGTAAGTGCATGAAAAAAATATGAACAATGTTGTTTAACAAATTAAGTTTCCCCTCAAACCTTTTAATTGAACCCCCCCCCCCCAAAAAAAAACAGACTTCAGTTGTAAGTAGATTTGTCTAATTCTAATGCTCTTTAATGTGATATGTTGTTTGTACTGTATTCTTGCAGTTCTGCAATAAAATAAGGTGATCAGACTGAAGTATTGCACATACAACAGTTGCTCCCCTTTGTAATATTATGACACCTTTGTTTCACAATCCTCAATTAATGAGGTTGGTGTCTTTAGAGGAAGTATGTGTGTTGAATTTTAAATAAATAAATCACAACAATCCCGTGCAATGTGTTGTTTTTTACACTCCTAATTGAAGCTTCCGCTTTTCGAACGTAGAAGTGTGATAAAGGCCTATTGCCACGACAAAAGTGATAAGACTTTTCAGTTTTATGGATGTCGGCATCTTTTATGTTACTTTGGTCATTTCCACTATAAATACGGGCTTGACTCCTCTTGCACACTCATACAGACAGTATATGACATGCAACTTTAAATCACAAAACCACAGTGTGAACGTAGCCATATACATACATTTTATTTAATTTTACACTACTTAAATAATTGTATTAGACAGAAAATTGATTCAGTCATAGATGAGGAGAATTTGATTTGCAATGTATTTAATTACTCAAACCTCTTTCAGTGCATCTTTACTTAACTGTCGGTCTCATGAACACCATGTTTGCCATATGCTTTTTTTTCTAATGCAGGGACACCGAACGAATGCACCTGTCTCTGACTCTGTGAGTTTGGACATGATCAGCCAAGTATCAAATTTCATTCATAATCGGCCTTACAATTGTTAAGTGTGTCCCCGGCTTGAATAACGCATCGTATCTTATCTAATCTTTTCTGTTTTGTTTGTTTTCTTATTTGTTTTTATATATTCTATATATAAATACAATTTTACTTCTTTGTTACTCCCCTGACTTAGGCCTATATGAGATCTTACACCAAATCTAGGCAACACATTTCTGTAACTTTTAACGCTGTGTCCGTTGACTCGTCGGATTTGGTAAATCTTCTTTATATATGTACTATATATGTTCTATATATGAAGTTTTCAAATGAAATTAAAATGCTAGTTGGCGTATGAAATAGAGCAGATTAAGCATCACTAGAAATAGTGAAATAATTAAATAGAGTGTTATACTGCCTTGGTGGATTTAGTGACCCTGCTGTATATCTGCACATGTTCACATCAGACTAAAAAATGTAGACATCACTAGAGTGAATTTGAGGGGCATTACAGATGGTTTGTCCAGTAATATTAATATTAATAATAATAATGTAAATATTTCCTAGTTTAACTTGAAGTGCTAAAATAACTGAAACTAAATTAAGCAAAACTAGTAAATAAAATTAATAAAAAACAGATTAAGCCATATTTAAAAGATAAATAAATCAAAAACTAATAAAAATGAGAAAATCACTCAAACTCACAAAATGAGTAGGCCTAATACTAAAAACAGAATATATATATATATATAATTCTAAATATTAACAAAAACAATAATAGTATATCAATGATACTAAAATAACGTCTGGAATTTAGACAGTGTGTAAATGGATGGATTTGAAGTCAATTTAATTTCAAAAGAGCCTTAAAAAAGGATGACAGGTGATTCATTTGTAAAATCAATCTTGATTGATTTCCACAGACACATCAGCTGAATCTGACTTTACATAACAGGTTACATAAACAGCCTCAATTTATCGTGACTGACAAGCGGCACTCAGTCATTAAGTTAACATTACATACACTTTCTCTTTTTAGTTCCACTTTTAGTTAACCATAATTCCCACTAATACCACACACACACACACACACACACACACACACACACACACACACACACACACACAGCATAATCTCTCTGCCAATCCTCTGAGACATCTCAAGATTATCCCAGAGGTCATGAGTCCATATTAATAGGCCTTTGGTGCCCTCACTCACTAGTTGGAAACAGGATAATGCAGATATGATAATAATGCATTATTATATCACAGAACATTTTATCGCTCCATAGCATGTACATATCACTAAGGGCCCTGCAGTGATGCATCATGATGTCACAGTGTCATTCCACAACGTAATAGTCCAGAAACTATGGCCAAAGCACACTGTAAAGTTCCAGATGTGACAACTGCATTTCAACTGCACCCTAAATTATTGTTCTTTGTGTCTAAAGAACACGACTTATTCACAAAATTGCTATGATTAACACCGTGGAAACTATATTAGCAATGCTATGCATCTTTGGTATCCATTATTTTTGACCAAAGTGACAAAAGACTCGTTATGTTTTGCAGTTTTACAACTACTGCTGATACAGACATTTTTGGGCTTGTTATGGAGTTTTTTAAGTGAGAAGTTAGGGCTCTTATTATTTTCAAACCATTTGGACTTATTTCAATTATATGGGCTTGTTCTTGTTTGCTGTTTTTTTTTTCTAGCAAAATCTGGGTGTTTTAATGGGTAGTGCTAACAAATTGCTGAAATCAAAAAAACATTTTACTCAATAGCCAATATTGACATTTTAAAAATGCTATTATCCACTGACAAGGCCGACAGATTTTGCCTCGAAACAAGGAGGATCTAACACTTCTGATGCTTGCCAAACCAGCAAGATTATCGGCCAATGCCAGATTTTTTAAACTGGTCAAAAGTTGGTGGTTAATTTAAATAAAGTCAAAGCACATCCTCCTCATTTAAAGCATTTGATCATTAACTTAAAGCAACCTGAGGTTTAGCAACTCCCACATGGATTCAGTCTCAGCAATTAAACGATTAAACATGCACCTTTTGTTACCCATCCCAGATCATTAACCAGATCAAAGCCAGGAGTTCTCAAACTTTTTGGGGGGCATGGGATCCCCTCATAATTATTATTATTATTATTATTATTATTATATTATATTTGCTTGCAACAACTTATATTATCGTAATTATAAAGCATGCATAATCAATTAAAACTAAACTGCATATTCAATCTATCAACGATAACTTAAAAGTTTAACAAAAATGACATGTTTAGGGTCATATGAAGTTTAAATTTAACTTAATTTAATTGTAATAATCAATAAGCATGTCTAATCAAATGAATTCATAAAAATTTAACAACTTATATATTTTTATATGTTTACAATAACAGGTCCTATGAAATGTAATATATTTCTGTTGTAATTTCTTCAAGTTGAACCAAACTTTTATGGGTCACAAACCCCCCTTTGAGAACCCCACTTAAAAAAGGCAATAAATATCCTTCCATTCAAAAGTTTGGGCTGGGTATTGGGCTGAGAAATTAATACTTTTTTTTAGCAAGGACACCTTAAATTGATCAAAAGTGACAATAACGACGATACAGTTACAAAAGATTTCACTTTTAAATAAATACTGTTTTGAAATTTCTATTCATCAAAAAATCCGGAAAAAAGTATCATGGTTTCCATAACAATATTAAGCAGCACAATCAGTTTCAACATTGATAATAATTTCTTCAATAGAAAATCAGCAAATTAGAATTATTTCTGAAGGATTATGTTCTACTGAAGAGTGAAGACTGGAGTGCTGAAAATTCAACTTTGCATCACAGGAATAAATTACATTTTAAAATATATTATATTAGAAAATTTTAATTAATATATTATCTATATATTACTGTAATATTAATATTGTTTTATCACACGAATGCAGCCTTAATAAGCATAAAAGACTTCTTTCAAAAAATTAAGAAAAAAAACTTACTGACTCCAAACTTTTGAATGCACAGGCATTCATTTTCCAGCAAACACACATTGATTAAACATTAGGACTCTACCTGAATGGGCTCCTGGGTCAGTCGCATCGGCCCTAAACGTTCTTCTGCAGCAGACACCTGGGACAGATTGAGAAAAACAGGTACGTTTTGTTGAAATGAGGCTACAAACGGCAACAAATTAAAGACTGTATCCGGTTTTACCATCTCAGAGCCTTGGAGCAACATTCTGACATGCTTAGCCTGTTTTTAATCACGCATTGTTTGCACATGTGCTTGAATGTCCATCAGTACAACCATTACGCAAACTAAGACAAACAAAGTCAGTCCCCCGAAGAAATAATGTTTCACAGGTTGAAATAATGTTGATGTCTTCGCAAGACAGACGTAGCCATCCTGATCAGCATGAACTCCAATCCAACTGTGTTATCCAGCTGATTAGAGAATGGTTTTTAACCAGAGCTTCTAACACTTCGAACAGCAGTCGACGGATATGATGTAGATTTTCAAAAAAGTAAAAGGTTGTTTTTTATAGCGTTGTCCAAATGGTAAGGCAGCATTGTTACAATGACAGAGAGCAGGTGGCTCAAAGCTTCCTGCGTCATCCACTTTAACACAACACATAAGCCTCTCAGCAGGAATCACACACTCACACTCACGCACAAACACACATGTACAAAAAGCCTTCACAGGCTAAATGCAGATCAAAATCACTACACTCTAAAAAATGCTGAGTGGTTTCAACCCATGGTTGGGTAAAATATATATACTAACCCAACCGTTGGGCTATCAAAAAATTCTACCAACGGTTGGGTTCGTCCATATTTGACCCAACCATGGGTTGAAACAACCCACCATTTTTTTAGGAGTTAATAAATGAAATGTAAATGAAGAAGAATAAAGAAATGAGGATTAATATTTAGATACACAACATTTAGATACACTGCAACACTGAATTCTTTGTTTTGATTTTAAAAATAAAATCAATTTACTTGAGAAAACTTCTGCTCTCTTTCACTCTTTTGTGAATGGGAGAGCATAAATTTGCTTTAGTCGTGCATGTTTCATGTTCATTTGCCCATTAAGAGGTCATCTACAGTCAAGATCTTCAATTCTTGTGACTATACACACACGGGTATTCCTATCATTATGAGGACATTCCATAGACATAATGATTTTTATACTGTACAAACTGAATATTCTATCCCCTAATACTAATCATAAATAGCACAGAAAACTTTCAGCAATTAGCTTAATCTATGACGCAGATTTACTGTCAGAGAGTGGGGTTTATGACCTATACTGGATTCAGCCACCTGATCAAAACATTTTGGCTTTATTTTCAGGACTTGTGCGGCACACTTTGCTTTCTTGGCATCCAGTCCCAAACTCACATCTTAGGTCGAACCGGCAGTTTACCGCAGTGTTTTAATGTCACCATGGCACAGACGTTGTGATTGAAGTCGTCTTTTCTTTCCTATTGTACGGAGCCACACACCTGACATACAAGAAAAACAAATATATATATATATCATGGCTACAAATTAATAATTTGTTCTCTTGTTTTAGTAAATTGTGGCCCTTGTTTTAAGTAATTAATGCGCACAATATAATTTTTTTTCAACGTTGTACTAAATCGTGCACACAATATAATTCGTTCCCTTGATTTTAGTAAATCATGGCTGTGTTGTACTAATTAGTTCCTTCGTTTTAATTTAACTACACCAAGGCATTATGTTATTACAATGTGGCAACGATTTAGTAAAATGAGGGAACAATTTATAGTGCACACATTTACTTAAACTGAGGGAACAAATTAGTAACGAATTGTTAATATATTTTTCCCGCATGTCACGTGGAGGGCTTTGTACAATGGAGACAGGCATATTCACCATGACGTATATTCCGAGTGAAACGGCTTCTTGAGAAAAGATTTAGCCGTCGACTTGATTTTGTCTATCAGGAATTGATGGATGGTTGTGGTTTGCTATTGGTCAATTTCATGTGAGTGACATGTTGTCTTGCAGTAAACACATCATCAGAAAAGAGAAGAGATGTCGCTGTAAGAGGGAGGGGAAGGTATTTTGATTAAACGTTACAAGGACACAATGACAAGGATGACACAATGGCACAAAGACAAGGATGATCATTTATAATAAATACTGCTATATTCAATTTTTACCATAAAAAAGACATAGTTCCCTTTCGTTCGGGAACTCCTACGTTTCGTCGGAGGAGTTTCCACAGAATTGGGATCACGCTGGGAAGAATTAAACGCTTGCCTTCGAGTGAATTAAAACGAGCAAATGTATATTGGCATGCAGGACTTGCATTCCGTGGTCCGCATGCCGTGGTCCGCAAATTACTCTTATGCTTGCCCGGGCAGCCGGGCAGTCCTGAACCTTCTCGGCTTGACGATTGGTTTCTCCAGAGGCCCCCTTTAGAGCCCTTAAATACGGAGTTAAATATCTTGTCTATGAAGACAGCTCTCCTGTTGGCTTTCAAGAGGCCAGGGGATCTGCAGGTTTTCTTGGTCGACGAATCGTGCCTGGAGTTCGGACCAGGTCTTTCTCACGTTGTTCTGAGACCCTGGTTCGGATATGTGCCCAAGGTTCCACTCCGTTTGTAGATCAGGTAGTGCACCTGCAAGCGCTGCCCCCGGAGGAGGCAGACCCAGCCCTAGCTTTTCTCTCTCCCATACGCGCTCTACGTTGTTACGTTGACAGAACGCAAAGCTTTAAAAACTCAGAGCAGCTCTTCGTCTGTTACGGAGGCCAGCAGAAGGGGAAGGCTGTCTCCAAGCAGAGGTTACTGGCTAGTGGATGCTAACGTCCGGGCTTATGAGTACCAGGACGTGCCTTGCCCACCCTGGTTGATGGCACACTCTACTAGGAGTGTTGCCTCCTCCTGGCCACTGGCGCAAGGACAGACATCAGTAGAGCTGCGGGTTGGGTGACACCAAACAAGCTCGCTAGATTTTATGGCTTACATGTTGAACCTGTTTCCTCCTGTGTACTCGCTACGGCCAGTAGTGCGAATTAGGTCATATCGGCTTGCTACGGCATTCTCGCCCTATGGGCCGGATACACGCGTGTTTTGCTCCATTGGTTACCCCAAAAATGGCTAACATCGTGAGTTCCTCCATCACCCCTCCGGTGCCGGGCGATCTACCTCGCCTGGTGCCGGAGGTGTGATGAAGGAACTAATGAGGTTAGCCGTTTGTTGGGGAACCAACGGAGCAAAAAGCGAGTATCTACCTTCTACGAGAGGTCTATTACCTTTCTTAGGAGTTGTTATTAGACTGGGTGGCCTTAACAATGGTCCCTACAGTGACCCATTTCTTCCATGTTCCAGCTACCCTCCAGGTTAGCACTGTGTCTTTCCCTCGACAGACCCGTTCTGTCGTCCTTGCTGAGTATGCTCCCATCCCTCGGGCCATGCCGTCGCCATGCTTGCTGTACCTTCGCGGAGGACTGGACACCGTCCGGCTCCTTAGCGGAAAGCATATGTGTGTGCACTCGCTTCCTCTTTATAATCACACTGGCAGGCGGGGCATGGAATGCAAGTCCTGCATGCCAATATTTATTGGCTCATTTTAATTCACTCGAAGGCAATTTGTCTCCCTAGTGTGGTCCCAATACTTTGGAAACACTTCCGACAAGACGTCTCTGTTCCCTCCTCGGGGAACGAGGGTTACCATACATAACCGAGGCGTTCAACTTTAAGGAATGACGAGTGCAGTAAAATGATGTGATGGTCAGTAGTGATAGAGAGATCATAAAGTGTTTGATGGCTGCGTCAATAAACAAACCAAGCATTTTACTTTTTCAAATTTCTCTTAATTATCTTTAAGTGAATCCACATGCTTCATTTCAGTCTCTCTCTTCTCGTGTGCTCTTCAAAGAGCCTTCAGCTCTCAGCATACTGCAGATCTCTCCAGGATAAAAGATCTGTGCTACTCTCTCTCTCTCTCTCTCTCTCTCTCTCTCACACACACACACACACACACACACTGAATCAGAGGCGCTGAATGAATTCTGGGCTCATCTGAGGTTTTAAAAACTAGTCTTTAAAGTATCTGACTGTCGAACCTGATCCTAATATTTCTGCCAAGTTTACCACAGTTATAATTGCAAAACCATAATAAATGAATAGAGCACTCCTTCATGATTTTTTTTTAACTTATTTTATTAAGGACATTGGAGGCTAATACTAGGATTTTATCAGAGTACAAACTAATGGAGTGAGTAGTTTCAAACAACTGGAGTTCATCCATAGCCATCTTTCAATGTTTACTATGACTTTGACGTCGCAGCTCTGTCATCCTCTGGCCCGCCTATATCAGATAACCTGATGTGATTGGTGCAGCTCGGATACAAGGGAATAGTTAATGAGCATCATTACTCAATGCTAGAGTAACTCTCTGAGCAAATTCAATTTGTGCTCTCGCGAGAACTCTGGATTTACAGGGTACACAAAGGCTACATTTGACCCAAAATACAGTAACAACAGTAATGTTGTGAAATATGACCAAAAAAATGTTTTCAATTTTAATATAATTTAAAATGTCATTTATTTCAGCGATGCAAAGTTGAATTTTCAGCATCATTACTTCAGTCTTCCGTATCCACATGATCCTTCAGAAATCATTATAATATGCTGATTTGCTGCTCAACAAACATTTGTTATAATTATCAATGTTAAAAACTGTTTTTGTGGAAACCGTCATAATTTTCTCTTTGACAGATACAAAGATTAAAAAAACAACATTTATTAAAAAATATAACTCTTTTGTAACACTATAAATATCTTTACTGTATACCTTTGATGAATTTAATGCATCCTTGTTGAATAAAAGTATTAATTTCTTTAAAGATTTCTTTGACCCCAAACTTTTAGTGAAGTCAAAGAAATACATTGAAATAATACAAATATAAAATAATATAACATATTTGAGATTGAGAGAGCTATTCAACATTACTGACTATAATTAACACTTATTTTACACAAAATGTACTAAATATATCTGAAAATTTGACCATTTTTTTGGATAAGTGTCATAAAATAGCATTTAAAAGTGCAATCCAAACAAACAGGTCCTCCACAGATATTAGAAAATA